CGACTCTGAAATAAATAAACAAATCCCATTTCGATTGTCCTTTAATTGGAAAAACTCCCTTGTCCTCACGCGGGGGCGGAAAAAGGAGGTGTGACAGCTACATATGTCCCAAATTGTGCTTCACAAACCATCCATCATAGACATAGAAGATGATTGCATTTCTCCTGAATAGTCAGTTCGACAGAAAATACCAGGAAAATATGCCAAATCTCCATATTTGCCAATTTTTGATTCGGGGGCATCAGGATCGGCGCACAAGCTCATTTTTGATATCAAGCATCCTTTCACGATCAAAATTGATGGTTTTGATCCATTGTCGCCATTGGCTAAAGAGTTTTGTGCGTTTGTTGATAATGGGATGGATACGAGGCGAAGGTATCTTCACTTTCTTTAATCTTTCATGTTCTGATTTTATACTTGTCAATGAATGTAGTTCTGATTACTTTTTATTTTTTGTGATTTGAAGTGCCAAAAATATATATCCCGATAAAGTAAATAAGCTTGCGGAAGCTTTTACTTTTGGCTCGTGTCATGTGACCACGAAGGATTGATTCCACTCACTTGCGTATTGCGGTCGACCTTTGATTGACACAATATTTAATAATTTTCTGTTCTAATGCCGTTTTTTATTTGTTGCATATCTTTATTGTTTGAGACCCCCATAATATATACATAGCTTTGTATAATCACAGTATAAGAGTATAAGATTGTATACTGTTGTATAAATATGTATACCTCTATATAATAGTGTATAAATTTCTATATTTAAAAAAATTGGTAGTGATGGTTGTTCTGTTTTATTTCTTATCTCAGCACTTGGATGTCCTCTTTTATTATTTGAGGAAGAGGGGAAAATATGGGCCGAGTGTTGCCATGCGGTTTACTACAACCGAATTTACCTTTGGTAACAAGATCAACTCCATGTATAAAGATTTCAAAGTGAATCAAGATCCTTCAGTGATTCCTGAAGGGCATGAGATAGAAGAGTACATTAGAGGATATTATTGTGATACAAATGTATTGTGGCACACTGTTGACCATGTCTTATTCCCTATCTATGTGAAGCGCGGAAGAGCAAAATTGGGCCATTAGATTTTGGGGTTGTTTACGTTCATAGATAGGTGCATCCACATCTATGACTCTAACCGTGGAGCTATTAATGATAGACTTGCTTTGTATGTTGCATTAACTTATGCAATTCTGATACCTTACTTCTTGAAGAGTTCTAATTTTTATGTCGAGAAGAAGGGCATTGATTGGAACAATGGTGCATGTGCCCCAACAGATCAAATGGTGGGTTAATCTCAATTGTTTTACTATTTTACTATTAGTGTACCTATTTGAATCTGATTTGTTTCCTTTTAATTACAGTGATTGTGGTGCTTTTGTTGCTGGCTTTGCTGAGTATTTCATCCTTGGTAAGGAAATTCGAAAAGATAATTTTGACATTGAGACACTTCGCACTAGGTGGGGATCTTTATTGTGGGATTATGGAAGGAAAAAACAACAGTCCAGTGCAATTAGTGGTGATGAAATTACAGGGAGACTTTTCAGGAAGAGGAAGAGGGGACGACCGAGAAAATAGTTCAGTTTTTTCCATTTTACTGTACTTTTTCTATGTATCAGGAGTTGTTGCCTAGTTTTGTCTAAGTACTATTCTGCTACCTGTGAGATAACCTTAAAGGATATTATAGATGTTTTTATTTTTGTGTAATTTGTGGTAGTCATTACACATTGTGGCTGTGAATGAATTACATTTTAATGAATATTTGAGTTACTTTTGTCCTTTAACAAAGTATGTATTTTCATTATGGTTGCAGTTTTGTTAATGTAGCAGGGTTTATACATATGTATACAATAATATACATAGTTATACAAACTTATACTCTCATTTATATATCTGTATATATATAATACCATTGATTGTTTACAGTTCTGTTTTGTATTTGTACAATCTATCAATATATTTAGCACCAATAAAAATAGCAAGACACTATTATTGGATAATCAAAACATGTATAATGAAACATCTCAACTGCTTGTGAAACTTAACTACTCAACATTTGTAACTCTATTGTTTGTGAAACTTAACTACTCAACATGACAACAAATGTAATAGGAAGTGTTATGTTTCCAACTATTTATTTTGGTCGATTCCTACATGTTTTTCTATTGTGATCACCTTGTCCACACACAGAACATAAAAACGCCCTCTTAGACTCTTTCTCTGAAGCAGGTTTGAGTCTTTCCTTTCTTGGCCTTCTTGCATTCCTTCTCCCTTTAGGTGGTAGGACCACATCTTCCAGCACCTCTGTTGGGATTACCCATAAACTCTCATCTGGCATCGGATTCACTGAAAATTCATAAGTTCTAAGGAGTTTATCCTTCTTGTAGTAAAAAGAGCAATACTGGCCAGGTTTCAATTGCTGGTTCTTTAAAACCGCCCAAGCATACGGACATGGAAGTTCATCCATTTAAAATTTTTCGCAACTGCATGTTCCCTCTTCAAGGCACACTATGTTTCGCCTTACCCCTTCAAACACAGTATATAACTGCTCTATAGCAGGCCTCACCTGCAAAAGTTTTTCTTTTTTTTTAAAAAAAAAGTTTAAAGAACATTATACATTATTATACAGAGTTATACATCCTCATACAAGCAGTAAAATGCAAGTCAGCAGTGCCAAACATCATTATATTTGATTCATTTTACCGTCATTTGCTCCGATGCAATCAGATTTTCCCGAAGGAGTTTGTTGTACTTTTCGCCAAGCTCTATAGATGTCTCCATTGCACTTTTTCTGTTTTTGTTGTTCCACTGTTGTAGCAAATTTGTCATGTACTCCAGCAATCGCATTACTGATAACTCTCTAGCATCCTTGTTTGCTGCATTAATTGACTCTGCAATATTGGAAGTCATTACCATCGACTTTTTCACTTTGGAATATGCCCTAGACCACTTTTCGTAGCCAATTTCGAACAAGTAAGGTTGTACCCTCGGATCAATTTTGCACATTTCTGTCATATGGTACTCAAACTTCTCTATCGTGTAAGCTCTAGCCAAAGCAAATAAGATATCCTTCAATTGTTTGTGATGTTTCTTGAATGTCCGCTTTACATTCTGCCACAAGTGAAACGTGCAAATACAATGTGGTACTTCTGGGTACACAGCTTTTGTGGCATTGAAGATGCTTTCATTTCTATCTGAAACTATACACATCCCTTCTCTAACTCCAAAAGTACCCTTTATCTGGACAAAGAACCACTCCCAAGATTTGTTATTCTCTAAATCTACAATTGCATATGCAAGTGGAAGGATTTTTCCTGTTTATACAAAATAGATATTAGGATTCAGACAATTATACAAATCTTATACACAGTTATACACAATTATACAACTTTATACCAACTGCAAATTTTATAAAAACAACAGCTGTGAAATCCGATACATTTTTATACATGAAACTACAACATTATACAAACTGCAGAAACAAGGTAGATGCAATCAACTCACCAGCTCCATCCTGTGTGCAAGCAGTCAATATGGTACCCTTATATGATGCTTTAAGGAAACTTCCGTCTACGATCATTATCGGTCTGCAATGCTTCTAGCCCTTGATAGATGCATATAACGAAACACATGCATAAAGAAAGCATCCATCTTTTGATTTGTGCAACTTTGTAACCGTTCCTGAATTTGTATGCTCCAACATATAAAAATACTTCGACAACTCCTTATATGAATCACTTGGACTCCCTCTTATCATTGCCATTGATATCTTTTTAGCTCTCCATGCTTTCATGTAGCTCACTTCAATCCCGTGTTGCTTTTGTATGTCCTATATTATATCATTTGCGGTGTAAACTTTTTTTGGATTAACATACTTGTCCTTGACTATACTAGCAATTACACCCGAAGTAGCTTGACGTTGTGTTAAGTATCTTTCACCATAGCCGCACGTGTGATTATTATTGTAACTTCTCACTTTGAATATGTTTGCCTTGAAAACGGCAGAAGATTTGAAACTCCAAGCACAATTGTCATCCATACACATAAGGTGATACCTAGGATTAAAGATCATTCAACTTCTAAATACACTTGTATACAAAAACATAACTACATATATACTAATTTTAATACCTATATACAAATATATACTACTTTATATATATAACAGAATATACAATTATTGACATACCTTGTTGCACTTGATCTCTTCACCTTGAATTGGAACCTCACGCATACAGCCAAGTTCTTCATCACATTCATAACTGTCTCTTTATCTAATAAACTTGATCCTCCTCAACAAATTCGTTCAGCATATTATCTATTATACCCCGTTTTCACTAAGTTTCGTGTTTTCAATCAATTCGATATCAGGCATAATCTCAGTGCTATCAATTGTGGATACATCTATAAAATTGGAACTTGTAGCAACCAAACAACTTGAACTTGTAGTAACCAAACAACTGAAACTTGTAGCAACCAAACGATTATCATAAATCTCTTTCACTGTCACAAACAAGGGATATTCAGTGAAATTCAAGCTTTTCTTCTTTAATTCGATATACACCTTAACACATGTATCGTTGTAAATCAGGATCTGTGGCAAACCATCATTTGGGAGAAAGTTAATCTCTATTGTGTTTAACTCACTATAGATCCTAATCTGTTCCGAAATAGCTGCAACTAAATTGTTGTAGCTAAATGTCGACTCGATTATTACACAATAGCTGATGAAATTGATAAACTTGTTTTCTTCCCATTCACCACTATGAAGAACGTAAACTGAAAAAAGCTCCATCGAACAAAAAATTGAAATCAAAATTGCAGCAAAAATAAAAATTGCGCTGATTTGCAGCAAAAAAAATTCACTTTTCGTGTTTGATTTGCTGTTAATTCAAGATGAAGAAGAAATTCTAGGGTTTTTGGAGCTGCATTGATGGCAAGATCTCGTTTTTGTAGATTTGGGGAAGAAGAATGGAAAGAATCAGAGATCTTGCCATCAATGCAGCTCCAAAAACCCTAGATCGAACAATCAACAACTGATAGTATGAAGCTGAAGACGAATGGAGCTGAAGACGATGCCGAGAAAAGGAATGAGAACTCTTAATTGGTTTTCTCCTGAACATTCAACAACTGATAGTACTTTCACCTTCTCGGCCGAGTTTTTCAGAAGCGGTAATAGATCGAACTCTGGAAATGGCAAGGAGACCCGTTTTAGCCACTTTGTTGCAGGTTGCTTGAATAGATCCATCAGGGTTTTAGGTTTTTTCATTGTAATTCAATGTATCTCGTTGTATTCCATGTATTTCAATGTATTCACTGCCTTTTTTATTATATTTCAATATATCTCGATGTATTATATGTATTTCATTATATTCACTGTCTCGCTATATGCCATGAATGTATTCATATATTTTTTTAATTAATATAATTTATGTATTCAGATGTATTATATAATTTTTCTAAAGATTGCTATATTTTTGGGGTATTTTTCTGTTGAGAATCTTTTTTATAACTGAAAATACAAAATTTGTGTGTTATAATTGAGTTTGTTGAGTTATATTAGGAGTCTATTATGTTAATTGATTCACTTTCCGTTTTAAAAACAGTGTAATCCCCTATTTCACGCCGTGAATACTCAAATACAGTTGAATACAATAATCTGTCCAGCTGTAATCTCATGTTTCACTCCATGAATACAGTCGAATACACTCGAATACAACAACTGATTAGCCGGATTTCCCTGATTCACGCCTATTTTTGCTACTATATTCATGAATACAATAACTTAAATACATCAAATACATCTTATAACCACACAAAAGGTATCTATAATCCGTAATATAGCAAATGATATCTATAAATGACTAATTACTACCAAAAGATAGTGCTTTATGAAAATATCTCTAAATTGAAATATGGGCTATAAAGTTGAAAAGGAGGCATCTCAGTTGTTTTAACATGAAATTTTCCCATAGTTTAAGTAGGAAACTAACAATAACGTAATAATTTAGGATGGTTTTAGGATATTAATGTCAAATAAAAACACAATCGAGAAACATCATAATTGTCGAAATACATTTAAGAACAATTGCAAAACTCAGAACTAAACAGACAAAATTACGCAAGCAATAAAAATACACGGTCACAAACTGAAAGAGATGTGATTGTATTCCAGTGACTAGTGTAAGCACGTGATTTTTGCCCTATATGAGAATTACTCCCAAAACAAAATTCAAAAATAAAATGATTTTTCTTTGGTGTGCAATTTTGTGATATTTTGAATAATTATTTGCATTTGTCTGTGCATGTTTATTTGCTAAATTAATAAAAATATACAAAAATATGTCGCATATTGCATGTAAGATTTAATTCTACAATTGTTAGTAATTGAATTTGTTTTACAAAAATTAAAAACTTACAAAAATAGGCATCGTTTGCATTTTTAGCATTTAATGTCCAAATATACAATTTTATGCTTAATTATTACTTAATTGTGCGTTAATTGTTATTGGGAGTTAATTTGCGCTTTTATAACTTAATTTAGTTCTTAATAATAGTTTAAGTATTTTTATAATTTAGTTTTAGAGAAAATAAAAGAAGAAAAGAGAGCGAAAATATAAAGAAAGTCGGAATTAGGCCTCTTCTTCAATTTCAAGACATAGGCCCAAAAAATGGCCCAATCTTCCCTACGACCCAGTCCATTTCGAACTGGGTCGACCCAGTCCATAACCCAAAAGACCCAATACCCCTATCTTGCATTTCAAAGACACAAAACAAAACAAAAAAAAAAACCAAAAACCCTAAAAATGACCTAAGTCATCCGCCCCCCCTATCATTCTTCTTCTTCTTTTCTTCTTTCTTCTCCAAACTCTAAAACACACATCCATGGCTGCCATGGCTAAGCTCCAGCAGCTTAATCTCCTTCGACACAAGCGCACACACCACCAAGAAGCCCATCTTCTCCATGTCAAGCTCAAAAGGCTCGTCCATGGCTGCGTCTTCGTCGTCAACCCATCGCCATGTTTGTTGCTTTTTCTTGCTGCCTCTGCGTCGTCCATGGCTTCCCGAACTGCTGCTCCATTTTCTCCATAAGCTGCTGAACGCAGCAGCAGTAGACGACCAGCTGCTGCCCGTGTCCAGCTGCGACGAGCAGCCATGGCTGTCCGCGACGCTGCCGCTGCTCCTCCTTCCTCCGCCGCTGCTTCTACTTCTTCTTCGTCTTCGTCGTCCTTCGTTCGAGCTTTGGTCGAGGCTTGGACAGATTTGTTTACAATCAAAGTTCGTCGTTGATTCATCTCCGGTTAGTTGTTTTTGAGTTTTATTTTTGTTCATATTTTGTTTGATATTTTCCGGATCCAAAATCGTTAAATGATTTAATCCTTGTTTTGTTCGTTGTTCATCTTTGAAATAATTTTCTATTGTGTTCATGTTGTTTGTTAAATTAATTTTCAGATTTCAAAATAGAAGTTTAATTAGTTGTTTTCATGTTTATTTCATGTTTGTATTATTGTTTAAGTAAGTATTTGTTAGTTTGATGTTTGTTAGATTCAAATTGAAATTTAATCAACTATTTCTTCAATTTGTTTCATGTGTTTATGTATTGTTAGAAATTGTTAATATTGTTAAGTTCAAGTTTAAGTTCATAATTGTTTCTTCGTCGATCTTGTTATTTGTTTAAAGAATTTAGTTGTATTAAAGGAATATATTGTTTTAATCGTTTAATCCGTCATGTTTGTTGTCTTAAAATAGATTCATTCATGTTCATACTTTGTTTGGATGATCTTGAATCCGAATTTTGTATAGTTTGATTTCTTGTTTACCATTTATGATTATTGCTTGAATTGTTCTCATAATCTTGTTTAAAGTTTAATATAAGAATTGTTTGTTGTAATGTTGTTAGAGTTGATTTTAAGTTCAATATGATTGAATTTAGAAATCTTCATACTTTGTTTGTTGTTGTTGTTGAATCCGAAAATAGGATTGTTTGTTGCTAAAATATTGTTCAATCAAATTTTAGTTGTTCTTTGTTGTTCAATTTGTGTTCATGTGATTTGTTGTTGAAATGTTGTTAAAATCGTGTTCATGTGATATTGTTGTTATGATGTTCATCCGTGTTCATATTGTTGTTTGAACATTGTTAGAAATTGATCATATTGTCTATATTTTGGTTAAGTTTGATTAATTGATGTGTTATAGCTGATGGGTAGTTTGGTAAATTTGTAGTACGTTCAGGGGTAGTTTGGTAATTTCAGTAAGGTCGTAAGAGGTAGTTTAGGAATTGTACATTTTGAAATTGTTTATTTGAAGCATGGGGGACAAAATGAAATGGGGTGGGTTGTGATATAGTTGTTTAATATAAAGGGGGGACAAGATTTAATTTAAAGGGGAATCTTGCATTATTTTAAATGAAGCATGGGGGACAAAATATAATGGGGTGGTGTGATATGTTTATTTAATGTAATGGGGATGAGTAAAAAGATAATGGGTTGGGTAGAGAAAAAGTATTGATTTTAATTAATTATAAGGTTTATGGGATGTGTTATATATGTGAAGTCTTGAAGACATAGAAGAACAGAAATA